CCCCTGCATGTAAGGCAGTCTGATGGCGACAGTCGACGAGGGCTGAGTCCAGGGAAATGTATCAATCATCGCTACAAACTCCACTCCTTGATTCTGCTCCGCCAACAAGGAAGCCATTTCATACGCGAGAAGTCCTCCGTATGAATATCCACCGAGAAAGTAAGGACCAGACTCTGTTCCCTACTCATTAATTGAACGTAATGTGTGGCAAGTTCACGCACTCCACCCCAGTCATCACTCACTGCTGCTGGATCTGTAAAACCCATTCCATAGAAGGACACTAATTTCTAGGGACGGAAAAGAGACTGTAAGAGAGCATCCACGTATAAGTACTTGGGGGTTCACCTCGACATGCAGTGGTTTAACGTTCGAGAAGCATGTCGAAGAAGGACTCCTGGCAGCGCTTGAGACCACTCGGAAGAGTCAGGGGCACCCAACGTTAATTTTCGAAAAATGTTTGTTCGGAAGATGATTTGAGATCTAGAATTTTCGAAACAATTTGTTGTAAAATTTCTTGCTTGCCTGCCTGTCCTAGGATTTTCGAACATCTAAAAAATGGTATAATTGCCCATTTTTAACGGAGTTTTAACCTAAAAAGGTCGCCTACAATTTTCGGGAGCCTTTTTTCTGGCTGAAATTTTCGAAAAGGTAAGTTTTGATCCCTATAATTTCCACTAGACTTTCAGCTAGGAAATCCAAACAGATGAAAAATTTCTAGGGGATAAAAATATGCCTATATCTACACTTTAAATACTAAAATACGTTCAACAATGCTATGTTTAAGTGGTTTTGCACTAGTTGGGTGCCCCTGAAGAGTGAGACCCCACCTAACATAATCTGTAGCCATGGCAAATCATTTCAGTTGCCATTTTACCTAGATTGGTGCAAACCTTGCTACAAATCTGCCCATAGTATTTATAAATGCGGAAGACTACCTAAAACGAGAACCTTCCTGCTTTAAGTTTACTAAAATTGAAATCTCGAAAGTTTTGAAGTTGCCGCCAAAATATGATGTCGAAAAGCAACTGGTCTAGATCAAATAAGCAATAATCCTCGCGCTGGCTGCTCCAGTTAATTACAGACGATCAACCGGTTTTTTCAACCTGTCACCTAAAAGTGTAGAAAATGGCGAACAATCGCCAACTTGTTAACAAAATATCAAATGAGATAGCAAAGGGCCCCTTTGGAAGTGGCGATTTTGTAGAAAATGGCAGAAAAGGCGAAAAATAAGATGGGAAAGGGACTCCTTTAAAGGTGGCGAGTTTGGGAAAAATGACGCATTTGGTCAAACATTCTAATTAGGCAAATAGGTATGTTAACATACATGCAGGTTGTGGAAAACATGCCCATAAGATAGTGCAAATGTTAACTAAAGTGTCATTAATCTATTTATAATGCCATTACTTTAACTGATAATTGAAATTCGTCTCAAACAAGAGTGCGTGTTCGGACATTACCACCTATGAATAATTTCTTCACAAATCCACGATCAAATTGGTGGAATGGTTCACGAGTTGTATTAGATTATCAGTGCGTGAATGGTACTCGTCGAAATGTTTATGGCAATTTACTTACCAAAAATTGCAAGATAGGTATCCTTAATTTCCCAGGCTTGCGGTCGTTGTTTGAATTATATATCTCGCATTTGTGCCAAGTTCGCCATTCTTGCTAAATTTGCCATTTTGGCCAAAATCGCCAATTTCGCCAAAATGGCCACTCTCCAAGGGGCCACTTTCGGCATTCAATTTGAATCCAATTTGAATCGCCAGCCCTCTGGTGATTTTTCGACATTTTTGCCATTTTCGCCATTGCATGCATTTCTGAACATAGGTGTAACTATGGTTTTACCGTGGTTAAATAAAGGTTTCTATCTACCTTGGGGAAGAGCCTTCCAGTATAAAACTTCGTTGAGTACCCCCCGGGCCCTGCTGAAGGGGCAGATCCTGTATAAATATAGGTAAATAATAATACTAATATATAGATTTAGCCAGGGCTAAAAGCGAGGCTCCCATTAATAAATACATAATTCAAATCAAACAATAATCTTGTATTCCACAATTCAGTTAACTTTAGAGCACATTCATGTGACTTTTCAGGGAAAGCTAAGTGATTTTAGAGAAAAACAAGACGCTACGGAGCGTACACTTCGGCGTCGTGGTTGTGGAACTGATTAATTGTAAATGCGGAGGAATAGTAAGAAATAAATATGGTAAGAGCAAGGCGTTAATTTGTGAAATTTGGGATTTGTCAGGATATTCTGAAAAGAGCAACATCCAAGAGGCCTACTTGCCAAAAACTAGCATTTCGGGACAAATTGTCCCTTCCAGGAACACCAACACACCACCACCACCATCTGGCCGCCGGATACCAACAGAAACATCTGTTTTCGAGTTTTCCTACTAATGCGTGAATTCTTCGCTTGAGGAACTCATAAAGATTACAGTAATATTTACTCTGAGACAAGGAATGTTTAGATTGCAAAATCTCCCAAGATCGGTAATGTTTTTAACCCACATAAGAGCTTTCCTGGCCGCCAGCCGCGTCACGCAAAAGCCTGGAAATTCAAGCGAGATAGTACCTACAATTGCAAAACTCAACAAAATGCCACTTAAACCGGCCAGGAATGACAAGGATACGTTCAGTTGAAGGTATCTTAGCTTTGTTTTGTTATATTTTGACTTTTGGACTATTTTAGTTCATGGGAGTTTCGACGACTCATCGCATTAATTTGTCCATGTGAGTATTAATATATTCATTCAGTGACACATACTACGTCTGGGCCCCCTGTGGGCAAACGCGTGAGAAATTACAGTGATTGTATGAGAATCTAATGTCGAATAATTTCTTTAGAACGGCTGTTCTGAAAAAAATATGATTTGCAAACTAAAGCTTCACTCCTAAGGATTCTCCGGAAAACATTTGAGGGCGTTATATGCACTAGAAGACCTAGAACCACTTTTAAAAATTTTCTATACATTTGTCTGTAAGAAAGTCACGGGAAAATTACAGACAAATATATACACCCTATGCAGAACGAAAAGAGACTGGGAGCGATCAACTTGAAAACGAGGCTAGTTGGGCCTGGTAAATAAAAATGGCCGCCTGATGTGAAGGGCGCCAGTTTTTGAAAATGCCGCAAAATTGTTGTGTTCCAAACTGTACCAAAAAGAAATACAGAACCGAAAACGGGGAGAAAATTTCTTACTTGAAGTTTCCAGACGACGTTATCCTCAAAAAACGTTGGCTCCATGCCATTCGTCGAGACGAAGGAAAAGCGTTTAGAGTCAACCAAAACACGAAGATCTGTTCTCGTCATTTTAAGCCCGAGGACTTGGTTAAAGCTATTGGAGGTCAGCGTGTTTATGTAAAGGCAGGGGTAATTCCATCTCGATTTTCGTGGTCCAAAGGTTCTCCGAAAAAGCGAGCACCTCCTAAATGTCGCAATCTTTCGTCTACAACAGAGTGTTCAAACAAGGAGTTGCAATCATCTCAAAGTCAAACAACTGCAGATGCAGCTGAAGCAACTTCTGAAACCTGTACTTCATCAGCAGCTTTTAGTTATCATGATGTGGAAAACAGCTTAAGTTCGTGTGAAGATCAAACAGAAGAAGTTAAAAAACTTGAAGGAATTCGAGGTTTTGAACTTGAAAATGCGAAGTTAAAGGCTGAAATAGAGGTTTTAAAACGCCAGAGGAGCCTTAAAGATTCCCGCCTTTTTCAGATACGCAATTTTACTACCGACGAGGACATTGCCTTTTATACGGGATTTCCTAATTTAGCAACATTTAATGCTGTGTTTGAATTTTTAAATACTGGATCGAAAGGGGAAAACATTAGGTACTGTTCATCAAAAGAAAGAACTGTCCAAAAGGAGTTTTACGATAGTGGAAACGAGGAACCAGAGGGATGTACTAGCATAGGTAGACGAAGAAGCTTAGAACCCAGAGAGGAGTTCTTCCTTGTTCTTTGCAGACTGAGAAGGGGATTTGCAGAAAAACATCTAGCTCACTTGTTTGGTATTTCGCAGTCGACAGTAAGCAGAACATTCCTTTCTTGGATAAATTACATGTATTTAAAATTTGGTCAAGTATCTATATGGCCTAATAGGGAGGTTATAAGAGCTACAATGCCTGACAGCTTTAAAGAGAAATACTCTTGCACCCGTGTAATAATCGATTGTACAGAAATTAGATGCCAAATGCCTTCCAGCCTTCTGTTGAATTCCAAATTGTTCAGCTCCTATAAGAACCATGTAACTCTAAAAGGCTTAGTTGGAATTGCTCCCAGTGGAGCTATAACTTTTATCAGTCAGCTATATAGTGGAAGCATTTCCGATCGCGAAATTGTTGAACGAAGTGGTTTCCTGAAGTTAGAATTTGACAATGGTGACACCGTGATGGCCGATAAAGGTTTTACAATTGAAGACCTACTCCCACTGGGTGTAACCCTAAACATTCCCCCCTTTTTAGGGTCTAATAGCCAAATGACAGCAGAAGATGTTATCAAGACTCAAGAAATTGCTTCTGTTAGAATACACGTTGAACGGGCCATCAATAAAATCAAGAATTTTCACTTATGGGATAGTGTTGTACCCCTCAGTTTGTTTGGGGTAGTAAACCAAATGTGGAGTGTCTGTGCCTTTTTATGTAACATTCAGGACCCTCTTATTTCCACTTAACACTGAGTTAGGCAGAGCTCTGAGGCACACTACAGAATTTCAGTCAATTTAATAAATGTAAACCTGCTTATCCACCTCAGGTCAAATATTCTCTAAACCAACTAAAACTAAGAATGTGATTCGCTTGCTTTCAGTCCCAAACACTTAAAAGATGTCAGCTTTTACATGTAGTTCTAAAGATCTTAAAATCAAAGAATAAAGAAAGCTATCTTATTATACAGACCATGTTGGTTGATACTCTGTTTTAAACATATCAAGTTAGGTATGAGACACAAAATTTCTCTTTACTCGTGCCAAGATTAGATTAGGGTAGTTAACCCTTCTAATGGTTACTGAACTCCACAGAAGCTGGTGCTATGAAATGTTCAAAATAGCTCTTCTTTAGGCCTTCATTCAATACGTCCCAGAATTGAGGATCAGATGTGATCCTCTCTATACTCATGCCTTTGTTAGTATAGATAACAAAGTCACACCAACTTGCTCCTGTAATACCTAGTTGACCCTGTATCTGAAAGTAGTACTGGTGCCCCCTTTTTAGCCTCGGCTTTCCATTTACATTTTCTGCATAAAAAGTTTCATCGGCACATGCTTCTAAAGGACTCACATGAAATTTAGAGTAGGGACATTTAACCTCTACCAGCCCAAAAGGCTTGCTACAGCCTCGGTCAATGACCTTGCCATCTGGTGATGCTGCTAAAAAGGGAGAGGCCATACTGACAACAAGGCCACTTTTGAACACTGAAACTGGGTTCCTTGTTGAAAACATATATTTTTCATATTCTTTTAAGGCTACAGGCTCATAGGTTTTCCCATGTGCAGTTTGTTTGGCAGTGAATGGTTTGGGATGAAGCAGATTATTTACTAGAGTGTTATGATTCCTTTGCCTTTTTACAATTGTGTGGAAATTAGATGCTGTATACCGAAATTTCCTTTCAGCCTGCCATTCCTGTGAGGCTGCTTGTTCACTTGTTTTCTTCTCTATGGTATTAAGCTTTGCCTCATCAACAATCAAATGATCCAGGAGTGCTTCCTGGTTGCTGCTTAAATCATCTGGCTTTTCATACTGCTCAGATTGTTGCAAAGGGAATGGAGGATATACGGAAATAGCATTTTGTTCATCATTACAGTCCACTCTAGGCACTGAGTCAATATTACAGAAAACTTGAAAATTAGACTCTGTGAACTGTAACTGGTAACTTGCATATGAGCCACTTGGACATTTTCCAAATTTTGTTTCCTGTAAGTTGGTACCACCAGTAGACATAATTTGAGACAAGGCAAACTTAGGGTTGATCTCTTGAAGCTTGTTTTTTAACAAAGCTTCATCAGATGCTTGTGTACCCAAATTTTTCCTAGCTTCATACAACAAGCACCTTACTCCACTATCAGGGTTATACTCTGTGTCTATATTCGACTTTTTGACCTCAAGTTCCATGACAGGTTGGGGCTTGATTTTATCTCCTCTTACAGGCCTGTGCCATAGTTGTAAACTTGAAGTGCATGCCTTAACTTGTGTCATATCAGATTCATTTTCCAAGTCCTTAATATCTTGACAACAATACAAGCTGAACTTACAGAGTTTCATCATAACAGCAAGCACATGATTGCAAAAACCAACAGATCCTGCTACACATGTACACGAAGCATATTTAACAACTCCACTCACTAAACAAAGTGCAACTTGTAATTTGTGGGGTGGCTCATTTTTTTTAAAGCTATGGTAACACAAGCATTTGAAATAGAAATATTGGTCATCACTTGCGCAAGTTAAGTCTTTCAGGTATTCATCATCAAGAAATGTTTTTGCCTTTTTCATGCTTGTTGGAACAGCATGGTTCTGTTTATTTCTGTCAAAGTTTTTTCCAGATTTAGAAATATGTAAATCCATCTCTGCCCTTGTGAATAATGGCATTCGTTGCAAACTTGTAGACCATCCGGCTGATGGAAATTTAACAGTACTTTCCTCAGGCATCGCATCACTTTGAGCGAGTTGTTCTTGTCTCGCCTTTCGACGCGTGTATATCAGATTTTTATCGGGATCCACAACATCTTTATCACGACCAGACGCAACATATTCCAGAACTCTTCAAAATGAAAAGTAGAAAAACTATTAATCATTACATTTTTGAAACATTTCATCGAGAAAAATAACTCCTAAATCTTTTGATCTCCATTTACAATATCAAAGTCTCTTTTAATTCTAAAAAGTATCACGAACGACTGACAAATACTGTACTTACCTTTTCGCCAATTGTGCCTTTGTTTTTAACCCCTTTGCTGGATCGCCACGACATTTTAACCAAAAGCGAAGTTCATCTGTTTTAAGAGCAGTCGGATTTCTTCCCTGAAGCGATGCTCCGGGGATATCTTCCTCCGTAAGACTCTGAGAAAGACGGCTACTTACAGAGCCATGAGCGGCCATATTTCTAACACGAGTAAACAAGGCCCAACTAGCCTCGTTTTCAAGTTGATCGCTCCCAGTCTCTTTTCGTTCTGCATAGGGTGTATTGAAAATCTAAAGAAAGCCTCTGGAGAGATTTAAGCACAGGCACGCCCCCCAATTTTTTTTAGGACAATCCTTTGCTTTGTAGCTTTAGTTTACAACTGATATTTTGTTCAGAACAGCCGTTTTATGGAAATTATTCGACATTAGATTCTCATACAAACACTGTAATTTCTCACGCGTTTGCCTACTCGTCAAGATGGCGTCGAAAACCGTGACAAGGTCTATTCATGATTTCAGTAACTGATGCAAATCTGCTTACTCATGCTGAAACGTAAACATGCCCTAATTAATTATTCATGAATAATCCAAAAATGTAGAGAATGTTCCAGAAAGTCACGCAACGCATGAAAGCAATTTTCTTACGTAATACTCAACAAAGACAAAATGTCTTTGTGCAGCAGTTCTAAAGGAGGGCTCACTGGTGAAATGTTTTTCAACACTCGGAGAGAAATTTCGTGTCTCTGCGCGGCCAGGTAGTATCCTCTATTTATTCCTCGAGTAAATTAAAGACTAAACTCGAAGTGATCTCAAGACATCACGAAGTAGTCCCGTCTCATTTCGTGAAATAGCCGAAACAAGCCCAAAAGTCACGAACTTGTACGCCCAATCTTGTCCCGAAACTAGTGCATCATTTCATAACTGTTTTTCGTATCCCGAATTACCCTGGGTCGCAGGAGCGCAATCGGCTAATCCCTCAGGTGAGTCGGTTCAAACCCCGGGAAAGCCAAAATAATAATTCTTTCTTCCTTGAAAAAGTTAAAGAATAAATCGAAGAAATCCAAATGATCTCGAGATATCTCGAACTAATTCGGCTCTCACCTCGTCAAATAGCCGAATAAAACCGAAAACCTACAGACCTTGCGTGCCCAATCTTGTCAAAAAAAGTGAACTTTGATACATTCCTGAGCGTCGCAAATCCTTTACTTCGCGCTCCGCCGAAGTAATAGTTTGCAAACGGCCCAAGAGTGATTAGGGTTAGGGTTGATTTCCACTGTCGCGTAATTTTTCCATACCTGCGTGCGTAAAATTTACGTTCGCACTGAATAAAAGAGAGGCAATGTCTGAAAGATCGCACGTTAGCGTAAAAGTAGAATCTCGCTCAACTTCACGTTTAATCTCTACAGTTTATATCTTGCCTCTATCTTTTTTACCTGATTAAAATTTACTTGCGTTAACGTGCATAGCCAAAAACGCGTCGGTGGAAATCATGGTTTGCCACTAAAATATGTAAAACAAAATAAATATTGCAACAATAGTTGAATCCCCTTTAGATTAGTGGTACAGGCGATGGATTTCGTAGCTAACATTTCGGGGTTCGAAGCTCGCTTATGCAACTTAATTTTTTTTATTTATTTGGAATCGAATGCTGTTATTCTACTAGAATTTTGGCGACCGCAACCCACCCTACCCTGCTTTGGGCTCCAATATTCCATCAGCAAGAAGACGAGGACTGAACGGTTTCACTTTCTTCAATGCAAGGGGTCTTCGCCGAGTCTTCGCTTCGTAAACAGGCATGGAGGAACCCTAAGGAGGGCAGGGTGGGTTGCCTTCACCAAGACATATTCACGAGGAAAGTGACTGATATCGCATTTACCTCCAACTTTTGCAATAATTATTCACATCCCGCGTCCCCTGCGTCCATGTATGACGTCCCCGCGTCCCCGTCCCACACTTCCCCGTCCCATACTTCCCCACGTCCCATACTTGATGTCCTCAGGTCCCCTGTCTCGCGTCCCACTTTTATACACAGCCTCTTGTTTCTCACAAGAGAGACGGTATCGCGTTACAAGCAACCGTTGAGACTTTGTATGAGAAATAAAATACTGAGGTCTGCGAACGTTAAAATGAATAAAGGAGACTTACCTTTGATGTATTCCTGAGTTTTTTGGCTTGAATTTATCGATTTAGTCGCGGTCTTTTTTGGCAGGTATTGTTTGACCCCTGTCACGGCCTCGTGCTATTATGAAGAGAGTGGCAGGGGTCAAACACTAACAGCCAGAAAAACCGACTAAACCATGAATTCACACAAAAAAAACACAGGAACCTTTACATAGAGAGAAAACCCTTTACAGTACAACCCATCAAAGGGCCATAAATCGGCCCATAGACCACACAGGAGAGACGTAACACACATTTTATGTAAGGAAAGCTGCTTTTTATTGAAATCCTTTCATTTTCCTAGGTTACGGAAACGATAGGTTATTTCTCCATACAAATCCTTATATTTCGACTGTTACGCAACAATGTCGATGTTCGCCAATGCTCATATTTCGAGCTTGGGCCACCTGTGATTATTGGGACCTTTTTCGTAGCAGTGAATAAAATTATGTGTCCTCTTGTCATGTGACAATCGCACGACCTGAGGACCGTATGGCAACTTGATGACAAATTTTGTAGGGAGAGTGGAACGAACATTGATTGACGCTTGAACACACGTCTGGTATTGTTTTTAGAGACATGAAGAGGCTCGTGGCGCCAGATTTTACTGTTTTCCGAGAATTGCACGTATAAGCGGTTTAAAGCCACCACAAAAATTATCAGACCATAAAACGATCACTTTCTCCAGCTGTTTGTAGAAAGAACACAGAATTGAGGACTTTTTTTAAAAGGACGAGAGTTCTGCTTGAAATCAAGGGATTTTCTATAGCCAATTGCATATTTAAGAGATCTAGCTAAGAATAAACAATGACAAAATGTAGCTACCAAAACGCAACAGGTTCCCAATTCAGGCCCCCTGAACATTCATATAGGCAAACACTAAAACATAATCCCAAAGCAGAACCTTTAAACTAAAAGTCATAAAAATCACCACTGAAGGCCTACTGTAAAATCAGCACAAAAATAACAAGATCCCTGAACAGGGCCCCTGAGCGTTTAGGCAGCTACAAGCTATAACTACAAAAAACCTATTAACTACTATCGGAGTTTTTTCTACAAGAGAATGTAAGGCTCTAAATTTGGCTCTTTCTAACGTTGAGAAGATCCATGGCACTAGACAGGTTTTTATAAGCAGACTAGAACAAATTAGCATGTCCCTGCTAAGATGTCGGGTTTGGCCAATGTGAGAAACCACTTAGTATTAGCCGAGCGCGGTTTTGTTGAACACTCGCAAATCGAGCCCTTTTAACAGTGAGTAAAATTCATGTAGAAATAAGACACTGGGTATAATTTCAAATACTTTTAATGCATGAGTGGAAACAAAACAAAGTTTCACAAAGCTGAAACGCTGTACTGACATTTAAAGTAGAAACTAGTCCTCATTGACTGGAATATCTTGGTTGACAAACGATCGATTGAGCAAGAATTTTCGCTTATCGATGGCTAGTTCGGTTGATTCTAACCAATCGAATCCTTGTGTATCCTTAAGATCTTTTTGGGTTTACATTACTCAGGTGCACCCAAAGACGGTTTCTCTCCTAAATACATTGAAAACGCTTTCTACAGGCTATTCAGAGTACTTTTAGATCTCTAGAAATGCATTCTAAGCGGCGCTATAAATCTGTACCTGTTCGATCATACTAGGGGAATTTGAGTCTTTTCGAGTTTACAAGGGCTTCAGTATTATTTTTCCAAAAACCTTAGATGCAATTTAACGTATTGAACTCACGGAAATGGCGCTATACAAATTCTTGTATTATAAAATTCTTGTATTATCATAACGAAAGTAAGAATTTTTCTTATTTCTTTCTCTATCACTTTTTTTAAATCGAAAATCTTAGGTACGGTTTCCTTTTTTGTACGAAAAATGGCCTAACCTGGGCAGTGAAATGTACAAATTAAACTTCAGAAAATGGTAGGGACGTTATTAGATATGAGTGTCGAAACTTGTACATGAATGGGACGTTCATCTAGATATTTTTTGTCGTCCTCAAGTAATAGAAAATCCTAGGGGCAATATTTGCCTCTCCGAACAGATACTTTTACAGAAAACAGCCATTGCATTGGGTGACCCTGATTACTCTACAGAAGGTAGAATCTCTCTTCATAGCAGACATCCATCGCATATACTCTAAGAGTACCTTTCTGAGCTCTTTTCTGCTGATAGGAAGAGCATTATCGGCCTTAACAAGACCCAAGTTTTCTGAGTCTCCGTTCTCTTCATACTCATCGATCAAAGAGTTGAGCTTGACCTCGGGGGGTACTTGGGTTAATTTTTTTCTGGGTATGTGCCGCTGGCCTCTCAGAGCCCCTAGACACAATCTTAATCACCTTTCGGCAAATATGTAATTTTCGCGATCCCAACTAAGTCACTTTCTATTTATGTATCTACCCTATACTGAATGAAGAACACTTTACTTTTCACCTACAGTACAAACATTCTGGTAAGTTTGCTAACCGTAAATATGAAGAACTGTCCTACCCCAATATCCGTAAATGTACGACCCTATCCAGCGGCACATCCCCATTAGCCTCTTATAAGGAAGTACACCCCCCCCCCCCCTCCCGGGGGTTTAGCTGGGGGGGTTTTTTAAATTCCGCTTGAAAAATTTGGCCCCAAGGGTCTAAAGGCCCCGGCCCTTTTTTCTCTTTTTTGCGGGAGAAATCCCTTTGGGTTGAAGTTTCACTTTTTTTCCAAAGGTTGCTTTTTTTCCTTTATTTATTTGGAATCGAATGCTGTTATTCTACTAGAATTTTGGCGACCGCAACCCACCCTACCCTGCTTTGGGCTCCAATATTCCATCAGCAAGAAGACGAGGACTGAACGGTTTCACTTTCTTCAATGCAAGGGGTCTTCGCCGAGTCTTCGCTTCGTAAACAGGCATGGAGGAACCCTAAGGAGGGCAGGGTGGGTTGCCTTCACCAAGACATATTCACGAGGAAAGTGACTGATATCGCATTTACCTCCAACTTTTGCAATAATTATTCACATCCCGCGTCCCCTGCGTCCATGTATGACGTCCCCGCGTCCCCGTCCC